TTTTCCACATGTAGGGGAGGTTCTGATATGATTTCTTTCCTGCAGTCTAGAAGTCTTTGCTGGCCAGGTTTCAGTGTGCATAGGCCCATGACACCTTCCCTGAGTTTTTCAAGGAAGGCTAGATGGTGTGGGGCTACAAAACAGTGACTTAGCTGTTTTTTAGAAAATGGTACTCTTTAATATTCTGCCCTTTTGTGAGCATGTCCCTTGCTGCTGAGGTTAAGGGCCAGACATTTCCCCAGCACCTTCTGCCCCCCTGCTGCTGCCGTCTGCAACACCGTCTCTTTCTTTCTCCTTTTCTTTCCTCCTTCCTTCCTATCTCTCCTTTCTTCTTTCTTCTCTTCTCTCTCTCTCCCTCCCCGCCCCTTGCCAAGTATGACCTTGAACTCTTAATTCATACGCCCCCATCTCCCAAGTTCTGGGATTACAGACCTGTGCTCTTCGTCGTGGCATTAAAGACGGGATTTCTTCGACATGGTGGGCTTCACTGCACTGAGTAGCCCACGTAGTAAGCGATAGGCTGCTCAATGGGGACACTCTTACCCTCCTACTTTGACTTGTTCATTTCAGGGCCACTTCAGGTACTGGATCTTGACCACTAGGCAGTACACCATCTCAGGCAGGGCAGGAGGATGTAGGCTGCCTGCTCCCCTGGGCCAGTACCTACAGAGTGTCCCCGGGGGAGCAGGCCAAGGCTCAGAACCAGCTCTTCTGTGCATGGTATTTCAGAACATTGCTAGCACGCCCCTTCCTCCATCCTACATGAAGTTATTTTCCTTTCCAGAGTCTGTTGAAACTCTCCCTAGTATTTTTTCATGGAACAACCCCACAGCTGTGAACTAGGTCCAGGTGAACAGGTTATAGCTGACAGTAGGGTTAGCCTTAGCTATAGAAAACACTCATGGCTTTCTGTTATTTCTGAAAAAAAAAAAAAAAAACAGGTTGTCACAGAAACAGTCCAGGCCAGTGCTGGGACCCCTCAATTTCACAGCCCACAAAGAACTTCCAGGACCTCCAGTCTTTGGAAGCTGCCTGGGAGGGCTGCGAAGGATTCATGAAACCTGAGTGGACTCCGGCAGATTTAGTCTATGGGGTTACCATTGAAGCTGACCCCATTTCTAATAGCACCTGCCTCATGGATGCCAACTCAGAGTGAGCTTATGATGGGAAATCAGAGCAGAAATACATATTTGGAAGTTGGCCAGTTTTAGAACTATTAATCAGGGCGAGGGGTTTTACAACTTAAGGATGAAGTAATTGAAACGTGTTCTAACTAGAAACTAGCCTCGATCTGGTGATGTCGCTGTAGAAAATGAGACTGCACAGCAGCTTCCAAAGCCACTCTGATGAGTGGAGATGCAGCCAGGCAGAGGAGCCTGACCTAGGTGGCATCCCTCCCAGGGCAGACCTCAGCCAGGCACAGAACTTATCAGGGCACACCCAGCCCAGGTGTCTTTGGTTCTCGGAGTTTCTGAAAGAGGCAGCTCCGAAGCCTTGGCTCGGGACATAACGCTGTCACCTGTCCTGGTGCTCGGCAACAGAATGAACTCTGAGATCTCTGTGCCCATCATATGCCGGGCGGTCAGATGGCACACGGCTCTCGATGGGTGTAGAATGTAAGTGGGAACCCCCCCGGCACCCTCTGGCCCTCACTCCTTTCCTCACTGGTCTAGATTTGGATTCAGACATGAGTCTTTTGACTCAAAATCTATCCTTATTTTGACGGAGGAAGCAGTGTTGGAAACCTAAGAGGAGAACTAGTGTGCTGGGCAAGGTCTGATGTGGTCTCATCGGATACTAGCACCCATATTTTGTAAACAGGAAACAGTCCCCGAAGCTAAAGCAACTTGTCCTGGTCATAGTTAGCTGAAGCCAGCTGGGTCCTGGCCCCTCTGAGGTCCAGCCCCAGGCCCTCCTGCACACTGGTCTTAAAATGAATACAGCACATGGGCTAGAAATGCTGGGGGCACCAGGAAGACTGGAGTCTACAGACTGTGTTGATCCAAGAGGCCACCCACCCACAGATTAAGGACCACCAGACAGGGATGTCAGCAGGAGGAAGCCTATCCTGGCCTGGCAGCTTCACCAAAACTGGTAAAACTGAGAGAGAGTCTGGGTGGCCACACAAAGACAGTAGGTAGGTACATGGCTCTCAAGAAGCTAGGTGCAAGCCGGGCGGTGGTGGCGCACGCCTTTAATCCCAGCACTTGGGAGGCAGAGGCAGGCGGATCTTTGTGAGTTCGAGACCAGCCTGGTCTACAAGAGCTAGTTCCAGGACAGGCTCCAAAACCACAGAGAAACCCTGTCTCGAAAAACTTAAAAAAAAAAAAAAAAAAAAAAAAAAAGAAGAAGCTAGGTGCCGAGTCGAAGCCTTCTGCCATACCCAGCTAACACAAGTACTATGCACAATTCTGTTTTCCAACTGCGTTAGAACTAAAAGTGCCACAGCTCAGGAGATGTCTCTCACCTACTGCCAAGTATGGTCACACAGGGAACAGACCCCAGTGTATGATGGTGTGGAGAGATCACAGGGAATAGACCCCAGCATGTGTCTGATGGTGTGGACGGGTCTCACAGGGACAGACCCCAGCGTGTGTCTGATGGTGTGGAGGGGTCTCACAGGGACAGACCCCAGCGTGTGTCTGATGGTGTGGAGGGGTCTCACAGGGTGTCAGGCAAAGCATAGCAGCAGCCTAGCAACTACTCTCAGAAGGGCCTGGCTGTTGTCAGGTGTGAGATTGATGCACTCATCGTTGAAAACACAAGAACGTCTTATAATCTAGAGGCAATGTCTAGAAATTCCACATCCATGAAGGATGATGCAGGGCTGGATCAAGGATGGGGTCTGCAGATGAGGTTGGAAAGTTCCTCTCATGGGGACACTAGGCAGGTCTCTGTCATCTAACAAGGGTAAAAAGATTCCACACGGTAGTGGCCACAACCAACTTCTCCCTAGCCTAACAAACAAACAACACAAGGTAGGTGGAGAGGTGGAAGGAGACTTGCTGGCTCACATGCCCAGGTCAGGGAGTAGAAAGCTGAGGAGCGGGTGAACTCGGAGACTGCACATCAAGGGGGCACTGGGAGGTGACAGGAATGCAAAAACTTCCTGTCCTGCTGGGCACAAGTCGCTCCTGGGCCTGCAGATCCCAGGGTTTGCTAGGTGGGGCTAAAAAAGAGGCCACAGATGGTGTAACTGGCTGGACTGGTCCTCAGGTGTGTCCCTTTGGGATGTCTCTCCTGCTCTGGACCACAACCCCATAGGGGTACTCTCCCTGCCTCTGGGGGAGAGGAGTCTAGCACATTTTCTGCTTAGTCCTACAGCAACCCGACCCTCCAGCACTCCCCACTTCCTGTGGGGAACAGCTCTTTCTAGGAAGGCCTTGCTGGGGCCTCATGTTCTTAAGGAGTGTGAAGGAAGTAAATACCAGTTGTATTTTACAAAGTGTTTCTGAGAAGGGTCTTACTATGTAGCCCCAGCTGGCCTAGAATTGAACCAGGCTAAGGTCAGACTCGCAGTTCCTGGGTGCTAGAGTACAGGTGTGTATCACTATGTCCTGCTAGGACACAGATTTGGATACAGAAACCCAGGAATGTGTACTAGGCATGACAGAGACACAGTTCAAAGCACTGTGACTGAAAAGGGTGCTCAGAGATGTCACAAGCTGCACGGGAGGCAGGCCTGACGCCGGCCCTCAGCCAGGACAATCTACTGTGTTTCTCCCGCATGCTGTCTGGTGGGATGGAGTCAGTTTGGAATGTATAGTGGCCACTTCATAGGCCATCAGCTCCAGGGCAGAAGCCCTGGGGAAAAGCTGCTGGCCCACGACTGGCCAGCCCTCCTGGGTTCTCACTGTCTTATTTGTTCACCTCTGTCAGGCAGAAGTGTCTTCTCCATGTCTCCATGGTCCCGTTTCCACAGAGCGAGGGGACGAAACTCCTGCTCCAGGACACAAGTTGTTCAGTTGCTCTTTTGCAACTGAGTCTGAGATGCTCTTCTCACAAAGTTAGAGCCTGGAGGCTTCCCTTGTTGTCTGAGCTCAAGGAAGGGAAGGGTCTACCTAGCTCCACGTCCTCAGTGTGGACACTTACAGGGCAGAGGTCACCTCTGCCACCACATCTCAATCCTTACAGAAAAGGACATGTCTACAGACATCAAATCATTTCCCTCCACATGTGTCCTGGGGCCCTCCCTGCTTTCCAGGTTAGGCTGCTGCATGTCCCAGCATGCTCAGCAGATGTGACAGTTCCACAAGCAAGAAGGCTCAAGAGATAACTGGACGGCAGAGCGTAACCTATCCGACTGAGAAACTGGACCCTCTTCTCGGCTCCCCGAAACCTTGTACAAGTGCTCTAGGAATAACTCTCTGCAGACTGTCTTAGCACATGCTCTTGTTAACTCAGACATTTTTCTGAGCCAGTTAAGATGGTCTCTCACTGTTGTCTGTCAGCCAGCTTGAGGTCAGGCTGGTATAAATCTATAAGTTACCTTGTCTCACTGCTCAGTCCTAACAGTGAATTAATTTTGTTTTTTGAGACAGGGTCTCACTGTGTAGCTCTGGCTGTTCTGGAACTCACTATGTAGACAAAGGTGGCCTGAAATTCACAGGGGTCCTCCTGCCTCTGCCTCCTGAGTTCTGGTGTACAGCACCTCAAGCAACTACTTCAGTTACATTATTAAGAGAACATATTAGTTTGGAATTCCTCCATGTTAGTTCATTCACAGGCTCCCTGTCTGCCTGGCAGTAGAACACTTTTTTTTTTAAACATGGGAAGGAAGTTTGTTGGGGGAAGGGGAGAAAGAGAGAGAGAGGGAGAAAGGGCGAGAGGGAGAGAGGGAGAGAGAGAGATCGATCTGCCCCTCAGAGAAACGGCAGAAGAGAGCTAGAACACTGCAATCTTCAGCGAAGTAAACTCTGCAGTGAGAGCAAGTTAAACTGCAGAATGACCTACCCTTCCCCGAGACACAAGGCTGGAAACAGCACCACACGGCATCTAGGACTGATTGATTTTTTTTTTTAAACTAAGGCACATGACGTTTAGAAATACTGAGGTACAAAACGCAAATTTCTGCATGAGATTTCTGAAGTACTCATTTGGAAAATGACGGTGAAAAATCATCTTCCAGAAGCTTCAGCTTTTAGCTTGTTTTTTCTTTTGGACCAGTTCAACCAGCAGCTTGTATCTAGCAATACAGTCTTCCTGTAGGAAGAAAAAAAGAGGTGATAACAGTTACTTCCATGGGTCAGTATCTCTGGTGTGGTCAGTTCACTGTGACCTAATTGCTGGCTAGTGCCCAGTCCTAATGACGAAGTCTTGTATTCATTTCATTTGGAACCTTCTGGATCATCCTGGGAAAGCCTAGCTGGCCCCAGGCAGACCTTGGCTGAGAAGATCTGCTGTAAGGCTGACCAAGGTGACGGTGCTGAGCATGGGGTGATAGTTGGGCGCTGTTTCGATGACAGTGCCTTCATCCCCACCTCAGCTTGGGACCTGCTCCCAGCACGGTAGCACCCACTACCTAAGCATATCTCATTTCAGAGATAACAAGAAATGTGGAACTTCCCTAGCACAAAAGATGACCAAGTCTTCCTCACACTCTCCCCATTCCCACCTGACACCCAAGCCAACAGGCTACAGATGGCAACCTCAGAACTCTTATGGCTGCCATCCCTTGCATGGAACTAAGCACAGACAAGACGGTGGAAAGGGTCTCACTATCCTTAGGTGGGCACTGTGTGTATTTCAGAAGCCATTCTGCTGGTTTCAATAATACTAATGTCATGCTATTGCAAGCATGTTAACTCGGGATCCGGGGCAAATGATGGCTGTTCTAAACAGGGTCCTTAATCTGGTGCCTGAGACGGGATGCGTGGCCATTCTTTTGGATTTCAGGGCAGCAGTGTTGGACTAGCCTCTTTTAGGGAGTGCCTCCCTACATCCCAACACTCCCCACCCACGCCGTTAAAGCATGAGCATAGCTGTGCCAGCCTTGGCATTCACCCTGAACAGCACAGTGTTGGTGTCCTGAGCTCTGAGCACGCAGGTGGCAAAGCATCTCCTGACAGGACCTGAGCTCCCATCAGTCAGGCTGGCAGCAGAGGGTCAGTGGGCAGCACCTGAAGCATTAGACCATATGCGACGCCTGTGGGACTCTGCGGCCCTGCTCCTCTCTCGTGGAAACAGGAAGGTTCCAATCCCCTTCTGGTGCTTTCATTTTGAGCAAAATTCAATTTATCACACATGTAAATGGCTGAGTATGATAGAAGTTGGAGAAACTCAGTGAAACAATTACTTCTGGAAACTGACTAGAGAGACCGGGAGAATTTGTGCTTCCTAAAGAGATCAACTGCTAATGGTTTATTCTCCTTCCCAGAGATCAGCTTCATCATCATAAAGTGGGTGACAGACAACTACACTGACGCATGCAGGGACATGCATGGCCACAAGCTAGGTTTTCCAACATAGAATTTCAATTAAAAAAAATAAGTATGTAAATGAGCATCCATGTGCCCAGAGGCTACTTTTGATTTCTCTGTGCTCCCTGTGCCTCACACCTGAGCACAGCCTGCAAGGAAGCTGTGCTGGGGAGAAAGGCTGGCTTTGGGAAGATCCAGGAGCTCCGTGAACGAGAGGGAAGCCAAGCGTGGCTCTCGGCAGGACTCTTCTGCTTGTATTTGAGAAGGGACGTATTAGCAGCTGCTTAGAGCAATAGCCAGTTATAAATGGTCTAAGTTCCAAGAGTCAGTTGAGTGTAAGAGACAAGTACAGCAACCCCACTTCAACACCAGCCTTTGGGTGGGGAGGTGCCACCACAGACTCCAAATTCTTGATGCTGCAGGACTGAGAGTTACCACAACAGTGTAGGGGTTGGCCCTACTCGCCCTTTGGGTTAGACTAGTCACAGGGCCAGAGAACCCCATGCTGCCTTCTGTGCAGCGTCAATCCTTTGCCAGCTCTGTTCCACTCAGACTGTCCTTCCTGAGCAGAATCAACGTTTCAGTAGGCTATCAGGTTACAGTGGGGAGTTTATGTTTAAAAATAAATAAATAAATCTATGTTTGTGTGTACATATACACACACACATCCTATATTACATATATGTAATAGAATATACATTACATTTATTTTGTTTGTGTGTACATATATGCAGATTTGTGCATATGTGGCTAGAGCACGAATGTGGAAGTTGGGATAACTTGAGGGAGTTGGTTCATTCTTTCCACGATGTGCATGCTAGGGACTGACCCGGTTATCAGGCTTGTAGGCAAGCACCCTTGTCCACCGAGCCATCTGGCCAGTCTGGATCTATTTTACAGGTGGCATTTCTTTGAGAGGAAAGGATAGCACCCTGACCCCATTTCTGCCTCAGCAGTGTGCAAATTCCCAAGAACAGAGGTTGAAGACAACTGAAACACAAGTCCTGCAGCCAGCGGGGCACGGAGAGGATGGGTGTAAGCAGGAGAGCAAGTATGGGTACAGCCACTTCAGAGGGGAGTCCCTTGTTACCCACCTTACTCTTAGATGGCACACATTTGGCTATTTTGTCCCAGCGGTCAGAGGCTCCTTTTGGGTATTGCTGTAAGGCCAGTTCCAGAAGTTTCTGCTGACTCTGAGTCCATGTCTCCTCTGCAGCACGGGTTCTTTCTCTTCTCTGGTTCTCTTCGTCACTGGATTCGTTTTGTTCTGATATATCAAAGTCTTTTTGCCTCTTTCCTCTCATCTTCTCCTCTGGCTCCACTCTGGTTACTACCTCAGCCATTTTGGCTGACTTCCGCCTCCGAGGCCGGACTTCTGTAGCCACAGTCTCCTGCTCACCCTCTGCAGTCTCTGGTCCCTCATCCTCCATGGCCCCTGCCGAGTCCTCCCGCTGGGTGATGATATCATCTGGCAAGGCTGTGGCTACCTTGATGGGCCTGGAATTCTGCACGTTCGACTTCAGTTCAGAGAGCCTGACCATTCCTAGGAAAGGGCCACGGAACACAGGAAAAACAGGCCATGGTGAACTCAGGCGACCAGCAGTGTCTACCACTTATACGCCAATGTGCCCCACATTTTACACACATTGCTTGCTTTACCTTTTACACTATTCACCCCAATCTTACACACGAGGGAAGAAAGCGGCAGAGATGGGAGTTAGACCTAGTTTGATTCCTTGTCTTTGTCCTTGTCAGTGCTCTGAGGAATTAAGGGTATATATATTCAGCTCTGATCAAAGAACAGGACTTTCTAGAGAAGGAAACCTGATACTCATTTCTACAATCTAGGTTTCATTAGTTCTATTAGTGTAATTATTTGCGCTGTGCCTCCCCTGTAGGTGAGCATACAGACACAGCATTCTAGCAACTCTCACTACTTTTTATTTACTGTGTGTTGATGGAGGCCAGGAGCACACCTCGTGGGACTTGGTTCATTCCTTCCACCATGTGGGTCGCAGGCCTGGTGGCAAATGTCTATACCTGCTAAGCCATCACCCAGCCCAAGGTGAATTGACCTTATTTTATTTTTGAGACATGTTTCTCTGGGTAGTCCTGACCGTCCTGGAACCCAGAAGTCCACCTGCCTCTTTCTGAAGGCATGTGGCTCTGGCTTCAAGGTGAAAGGATATTACTAAAAGGTTAAACCTTTTACCTTACAAAGGAAGACAGCCAAATAGAAACACATAAATGGGAACAAGTTGTGAACCTCAGTGATTAAACTGGCAAGGATGAGAGGCAGAGCAACCCACAACAGTGTGCACTGGAACACTGGCACTGGCAACAGGGGCTCTCATATGATGTTCTGCAGCACTATGACCCACTTTGTATGTCTCTAAGAAACCTTTTTAAAATCTCATTTAATTCTACTTAATTTAAGCTTCAGTTATTTTATTTTTGTGGGCATGTGTATGTATGGATGCTTGCACACGTGCCTATGGATGTGGAGACTACAGGTCATCACCAAGTGTCTTCCTCTAGAATCTCATTTTCTTCTTTTTCTGGACCCGGAGCTCACCAGTTCAGCTAGAATGGCCTGTCGGCAAGCCCAGGGGTCCTCTTGTCTTCCCCTTCCTAGCAGTGGGACTACAGGCACATGATGCTGTACCTCGCTTTGTCACATGGTGTAAAGGATGGAACTCAGGTTGTGAGGTAAGCACTTTACAGCTGAGCCGTCTTCCCAGCCCCAAGCTTTCATTACAAAAGCTAATTGTGGTACTGGTTACGACATTAGAGTGCATTTAGCCTTTCTGGAGGACAGTTTGTCAGATGTAGGTAAGCCTTAAAAATAAACTTACTTTAATTCATGGTCTATATCCATGTACCAATCAATAATGCCATTTAGTTATGAAACATACCAAAGGAAAAAAATCAATATAAAGAAAAAGGTAAAAATATTATCATATGTATGATATACATGTCTGTATGCCAGACATATGTGTGTGTGTGTGTCTGTATGTCAGTCTGCAAGCAGACAATGGCGACCAGCAGCATACTGTTTTATTGAGTGGACCAACTCTACCCAAGAACTATACAAAGGCTACTGGGATTGCAATTTTGTCCCATTTATTCATGCTCAAGGTGCTCACATGCACAAACACAGACACACAAACACATTTTCTCAAACGCAGGGTCTCATTTAACCCAGACAGGCTGTCAATTTGTAGTAACAGAGGCTTGTCTCCAAAGAACTGTGGTTAAAAGAACTACTTTGTATGCTTCACTCTGGAGAACAGTTTCCCAATTCTTTTCAGAGGACAGCTGGGTATGGTCATGCCTAGAGAACCATGCAGCTGCTCAGGAGGCAGACAGCAGGTCCCACGAAGATCATGGCAGTCTCTCCCTCTGACTGCAGCAGCTCTCCCACACCACATTCTATGGAGAAAGTTGTGAAATACCACTGCCACTCTCTGTCCCTGTGCCCAGACAAATCACTCGGTGAGAGAGGAAGCTGATTACAGTCTTTCCTAATGCTAGCACATCCTTTTTGAGGAGTTGGGATCCCCAGATATGCGAACACTATAAATCTTTAAACTTATTAAATACAAATTCTCAGCATTAACTGTGTGTGCAGGACCAGACTGATTTGGTGTCTATGACTAACCACAGAAACAGGATCAGGAGAGGTCTCTGGGCAAACTATCATCATTGATATCTAAAGGCATTATTATAAAAGGGATTAATTGCAAAGAAACTGTGTCAGATTAGTGATAAGGTAGATACTAACTCACTTGGGGAGAAAGTGACTTAATCTTTCAGTTGCTCGGATATATGAATAAGAATGGTAAGGTTGGAACTCACCCGGGGAGCAGGTGATTGAGTCCTTCAGTTCCTTGGCTTTGGTTGTCACCTGTTTAAAAATATAAAAAGCAAGACATCTTACTTTCCACATGTCTCGGAAACCGATTATTTTCATGCAAGGGCCACATGAAGGAACAAGTGTCATGGAAGTCATAAACAAAAAAGACTGAGGAAGCCTTGGGAATGTGCACTGTTGACTCCTGAGCGCAAATATAGGCAGTGTGTGCAATCAGAGTGTACCCAAACTGTCAGCCTTCTTCCTCTAGAATATTCAAAGCCAGGGAATGCTCATGTAGAGAGACCTCCTATTGAGAACATCTAAATACTCATATTTAGATGGTATATATATATATATATATATATATATATATATATATATATAATAAATGTGCTGAGATCCTCAGTTGTTATGGTTGTTGGACTGTTGGAGTAGTTGGTGTGCTCTTTCAAAGCAAGCACAATGTACCTGATCCCAGCTTTTCTATATGTGCATCTGTCCTTTAGCTATCTATCCCTTTGCAACTCCCAGTGAGGTCCAGTCCTCGCCTCACTAAATATGGCACTTCAGGCCAGTCTACTTATCAAGGAAAACAAGGCCCAAGAAATTAAATGTCTTGTTCTAAAATGCCCCTCTATAGCAGAATCAGAACCAAATCATTTCCCTAATTTCAGTGGCAGTGAATTATACTAGACAGCTTTAAACAGTTGTAAAATAGGTGTGCAAATGGACTAGTATTTTCCATTTTTGAGGCTTACACTTGTAAATCCCAGTACTTGGGAGGCCAGGGCATGAGAGTGACTGTACATTTCAGGCCATCCTGGGCTACAGAGTGAGGTCAAGGACAACCTGAGCTACAGTATAAGATCTTGTGTCAAGGGGCTGAAGAGATGGCTCAGCGGTTAAGAGCACTGACTGCTCTTCCAGAGGACCCGGGTTCGATTCCCAGCACCCACATGGCAGCTCACAACTGTCTGAAAATGCAGTTCCATGAGATCTGACACCTTCACACCAACAAACATAATAAAGTTAAGTAAATAAATAAAAAAAAAGTTTAAAAAAAAAAAGATCTTGTGTCAAAGCTATTTATATACCGAGTGAATTTAATAGGGGATTTGAAACTCTGAAATGTTAGAGGAAAGTGGGAAATCATTCAAGTACACATACAGGTAAGGAATTCTAAATAGAACTGTAATCACTCAGGAAATAATTCCGACAATTGGAAATGACATTTTGCCCAACAATGGAAACAATCAAGCTAAGAGAAAGCACACAGAATGGGAAGAAGTCTTTATTAATTTCATAGGTATCAGAGGAGTAAAATCTAGGATATACAAATAACTAAACAAAAGTAACGAAAATCGGAGCTGGGGGGCTGGATTGATGGCTCAGTAATTAAAAGCATGTACTGTTTTCCAGAGGATCTGAGTTTGATTTCTAGCACCCTCATCTCAGGTGGTTCACAACATATAACTTTAACTCCAGGATGATTTGACCCTTCTGGTTCGGGGGCACTTGCTTTCACAAGTGTGTGTGTGTACACACAGAGAGACATAATTAAAAATAATAAGACAAATAGAGCTGGAGAGAGAGAGCTTAGGTGGGAAAAAGAACACAAATGCATTCCAAGAAAACACACACACACAAATGGCTGAGTGAAATAAGAAAGTCAGTTCAGGATACGAAAAGAAAAACAGCCCCAAACAACTGCCTTAAATTAGAACCATAAAAATTAAAATGAAAAAAATTACCCCAGTATATCCCGTATCAACAACTAACAGTAAATTAACAGCCAAAAGCCAAATTTACTTATTAAAAAAGAAATAAAGGGGCTGGAGAGATGGCTCAGAGGTTAAGAGCACTGACTGCTCTTCCAGAGGTCCTGAGTTCAATTCCCAGCAACCACATGGTGGTTCACAACCATCTGTACTAAGATCCGTCGCCCTCCTCTGGTGAGCGGGCATACATGGAGGCAGAATGTTGTATACATAATAAATAAATCTTAAAAAATAATAAAAAAGAAATAAAAACCTTCTGCATTAATTACTATACAATACTCAGTGGAATTCTCATCATGCCAAAAAGAGTGATAAGTAATTGGCCTGCAATCTCATCATTTACTTGGAAGGCTGAAGCAGAATAACTACCACAAGTTTGTGGCAAGCTTGGAAAACATGATGAGTTCCAGCTCAGCCTAAGTTACAGAGGAAGACCCTATGTTAAAAAACAAACACACATACAAAAAAACACAAATCCCAAGAAACAAAGAAAAAAGAAAAAACTTTTAACTTAAGTGTGAATGCTATCTAGTAACATTAATATTTGCTTATTAATATATCATTACTGAAAGTTATTAGTCAAATGAGATAACATAAGTGTGAATGATATCCAATAACATTAATATTTTACATATTAATATGCAGTCATTGCAAGTTATAGATCAAATGAGCTAGTGACTCATCAAGCAAGAAGGATGCTCAGGCATTCTAAGGTGAAGTGGGTTTGAAGGTTGGGTGGTGGCAAAGGGCAGGACAGAGGAGAAGACAAGCTTGACACAGAGAACAGAGAAGGCAGGAGGCTAGCAGCACAGCGAAGAAATCAAAAGGTGAACCTTCATCATTTTTACAACTTCAGGGGCTATGCTGATGCTGAAAATAATACCAATATGTTGTTAAAATAACGTAAAACTATATTTTTAATTTACTGGTAACCATAGGCTTCTTGACTTTGAAAAAGCCACCAGCATAATACTGTTTAACTTCTCCCACTAGGTATCTTCTGTGCCAGTTCTCTGTGCTAGTTCTAGTTGTGTGACAAGATGCTGGGGTCTTACGGTCTGAACTCCTCTCTTCAGTGGTGTGCCTTACACAGGTCTTATATTACTCTTTGCATTAATTACAAAAGCTAAATCTAGCCACCTGGCTTTTGTTTTGCTGCCTACCTGGACCTTTTCTAAACAAGCAGTAAATTCCACTTGGTCTATTATCATAAACAGAATGTGAGAGATTAGTGACTGGCAGAACAACAGGGTCGGCTTACAGCCTTTCAGGCAAGAGAATATTACTTCAGGAGCAAGAAATCTGAAGCTCCCTGACCTCAACTTAGAAGCCTGCAGTTAATAATCACATTAAAGGTGGTTTTACATGCCAGACAGTTTTTGTTTCCTTTGTTGTTTTTACAATTTGAGCATCCTTTGTGGTTACTAAGATTATATGCCAAAAGCACGTAATTAACATTTAAAATATTTAAGCCCCAATAAATTGGCCTTACAGTTTACCTGAGTTAAAAAAATATGTAAAAATTTTTTAAACTAAAATACTGCTTGTACTTATCCACAGCATAATTTAATACTTTAATTATGACAAGTAATATACTGATTCTTTTTTAAACTGAGGAATAAAAATAGGACGTTTACTAAAATCTAACAATCTAAATCAAGAGCCATACAGACCCCAGCACAGCCACACTCACACCTTTCCCTGTAAAAGGTCAATTGTTACTGGAAGGGAAGCAGCCAGCCTGAAGCTACATTTAGAAGGGAGCCAGGTCAAACAGCAGCTGCGCAGACCTGGGGCCGGCGGCCAGATTAGGTCAGTGGATAGGGTAAGAGGAGATGGTTTCTCTTCCACAATCAAATACACAACAAATCTAATGAACATTGCAAGCCAAAAAGAAGTATAAGTGACCTTTTTAAAGTGTGATTAACTTTCACTTAACAGTCTACTAAAGGAATGGTACCAGCTGAAACCACTTCAGCTACTTTAGTCTGGCTCACAAGTCATTCTTGGGCATCATTGAAACAAGTCTGCTGGGGATCTGGAGAGACAGTGCAGCAGTTAAGAACACTGGCTGCTCTTCAGAGGACTTGGGTTAAATTCCAGTACCGATATGGCAACTCACATCTTTTTCCATCTCCAGTCCCAAGGGATCTGTTGTCCTCTTCTAGATTCCTTGGGGACCAGGCATCCATGAATCTGGTGCACAGACATATATGGGCAAAATACCCATACATATAAAATAATAAGTAAACTAAAAAAATCAATGCTACAATATGACCAACACAAATTATTTGTGTATGAAATTGTCAAAGAATAAACACAAATTATTTTTTTAAAAAAAGTTAGCTGTCTTCATGTTGCAGAATTGCTCACATTGCCACTCTGCTGTGCCAATAAAGTTTACCTTGAATCAGAGGGTAGAGCTAGCTTCTAGCTGACCTAATCATCTTTGGCTGCCTTGTACACACCCCTATTCCATACTTGTGTTAATGCAGATATGTATGTTACCTTTAAAATTTGGTTATTTTTTCAGAACAAAAGAATCGGATGTTAATAAAGACAAAACAAATAGCCTAAGTAATTTAGCCGCTTAGATCTGTTGCAGTTTCCCCAAGACTCTACATCTAGAATTTAAAAGCTGCTAAGATGGCCCAGCCTCACTGCTCCAGCCAGGTCTTCAGATGACCGCTATACTTTCCGATCACACAGAGACTGACAACAAACGATGCAGTCAGCTCTCCCAGGACTTGTTTTCCCCAGTTTTCTCAGGGTACCCTAAAAATGTCATTGCCTTCAGACAATGGGAAGCAGCTTAGAAAATATGACACCCACATTCCTAAGAGATGGGGTTGGTGGTTTTTGTCATCATTTAGGGTGGTTGGTTGCAAATTGTTGCTGGTCATGATGAGGGAGGAAACTAAGCAAGGGAGTTGGGATTCAAGGATCTCTTTCTGAAAGGGAAAAGGGGTATAAGGGAAAGGATAGAATAAAGGATACACAAAAGGTGACTGCCAAACTTTGCTAAGATAAGATAGGACAGTCCTTCAAAATTCCTGCTTCACATAAGTCAGTCAGATATTCTAGGCCTGTAGGCCAAAGATGGATGCCCCGACATTGTAGAGGAACCTCAGTCCAGGTAGCCAGCTATCTCTATCATTTCTATAGTTTTGAAAGTTGTTTGCCCTGCACTTCCAGTTTACTCACATAAGAGATGTACAGTTTATAAGGTTGAGAAATGTAAAAGTGTAAGTTGTTTATCTAAAAAGATATTTTTAGGATGAAAATACAAGTTATAACAAAAAGTATTTTCGGTATAAAAGTTTGGACTCACTAAGATAGGACAGATAATACAGTACTTTTTCCAAATCTGACAAATACAAATGAACTGAAAATTGTAAATGTAATTCTTACCTGATTATTGTTCTTATTGTATAGTTTTTCCTGTGTTATAGTTACACCCTTTCCTTTTTATTTAGACAAAAAGAGGAAAATGTTGTGGAATATTTGTTTACACTCTGTAGAAGAGGTGTTGTTATGATTGACTTAATAAAGAGTGGGTTTGCAGAAGAGATAGGTAGGATTTCTAGGGAGAGAGAGAAAGAAAAGAAGTCTAGGTGCGTGGATTATGTGAGGGATGCCTGGAGACTCTGAAGAAGTCACATACACAGTACAGAGCAAAGGTAACCGAGTCACGTGACAGAACAAAAACAAGTTAATTTGAGTTAATCAAGCTGGCTGGGGACAAGCATATGCTAAAGAGCAGACTTTCATAATTCATAATTAATTTTTATACCCACATTTTTTAAAAAAGAGAATGTTTCTGTCTCTCTCTGCTTACTGAAATGCACAGTGAAGCTGTGTAGTAAATTAAATAGTGACACAGGAGAAAAGTTACAATGGCATGTGGGAGGCCATGGAAGTTTAGTTCTATTAACTATTTAAGGTACTTTTGATTTTGTGAAAACAGAATACATCATGCAGCGTGTACAAACACATACTCAAAAAGTCACAGTTAACTACTTCATACTAAAAAGTATTGCAGACATAAAATCAGCCTCTCCACGAAATCAGTAAAACACACAATATAAATCTGCAAAAGTTAAAAAAAAATGCTACTCCTATAAACTAAGAATAGAATTAATTCTGCGAGGCTCTGCTGGTGACACTCCGGAAAACTCCAGCATTTATCAGTCTTCGTTCTTTACTACATTTATTTGTTTGCTTGCTTGTTTTTGTTTTTTGAGACAGGGTTTCTCTGTGTTAACAGTTCTGGCTGTCCTGGAACTCACAGGGATCCACCTGCCTCTGTCTCCAGAGGACTGGATTAAAGGCCTGTGCTGTCATTCTTTGCCTCTTAAGAAGATACGAATTAGCATACTATTTTCCTTTATACAATCAAATTAAAAGTTTGGGGCTCTTTAAAATAGTATTTTTAGAATGTTTAAAAATTATTTTAGCAATTTAAAAAATATAATGTCTAAAATATCAGTAACCTTGGAATGTTTTTTAATGTGGTTAGTTATAACACTCCTTACAAAATACCTTAAAATGAGAAGATGAAATCCATATTCCAGCAGAGCTCTTAGAAGAAAAGGAATTCCTATGGTTCTCCAAGAGCTAATCACAGAAATGATATGTTACTAGATAATAGCTTTTGTCCCTTGATCACACTTAAAAATATTTATGTAATGTAAACTCAGTGCAAATGCTAACCAAAAGGAAAAGAGGAATAAAAAAAAATTGACAGTACTTCTTAAATATATATGTTTGTTATGTTTGTTTCTAAATAAAAAAATAAAAAGTTTACTCTAGATAATAAGTTATAGCAATTATAACAAATCTCATTGTTTTGGTAGTTGTATTTTACTACTGTGCTCATTAAAATGTGTGCTCATTGTAAAGAAGACCTAAAGGCATGCTAAGATAATTAAAGAGGAAATTTAAATCTTTGCTTTTAACAACTCTAGAAGAACTTTTAATCTTATAGGATGTATTTAAAAGAAATTTAGTAAAGGGTATTACCATGCTTTACACAAATATCAGTTTGATAACTGAGACAGGAGAGTTCCTTTCTCACTTCTAATTAGATGTTTGAAGACCTGGCACATGTTAGGTGCCCTATTGTAGATTCCCGAATGAAAACATCTAACTTGCTATGTCAAAAGGTCCCCGGTCAGTACTTTGTCTTCTAGGTGTTGGGTATGGTCATTCACACATATACACCAAAATGAATGGTCAGAAACATTCCATCTGCATGAAGACTAGAGCTTAGTTCATTAACCCAAACCACCTGTCTAAATACATGAACAATCTGTATATCAGTGTTAAGACTGAAATATCACCTCTCTAATTCTGATCAGTTTGAAAACTGTTTTTGCCACGATTAAAGGGTCAGTATAAACACAGAACCTAACGCTGTTTCCTATGATTAGGTTTCAGTAGTTTAAGTTTCTGAATACTACAATTCTTCACACAGCTGTTATACTGCAGAGCAGGGGATGGACGCACATCTGCTTCTTGCTTATTTCATTAATGGTTCACTCCCAGGTCCTTTCTCCACAGATAACCCAGGACCCATCTAAGTCTGTCTTCTGCATAGTTGGGTTGTTCTGGTTTGTCACTCCCCATACAATGCAAATATCAGTGAACTCACATCTGTCACAGATCGACCCAATTCATGGGCAATCTTTTCCCATCGACCTGGGGTCCCTCCTGGGAACTTAACCATACTTCTTGTCAGCTGGTTTAGGTCCTCTTCTGTCCATTCAGGTGCCTGTAAGACATTAAAGGAAAAAAATAATTGGAAAAATGCTTACTAAAACATTAACAAGCCTGTGAAACAATTATTGGCAGAACCCTTTCTACAATGACCAATAGTACTAAACATGTATTTAAGTTTAGTCAAAGTCTGAGGCAGCATCTTTATTGGCAAAATGGAGTCCCAGCAGTCTTTGCAAGATTTTTATATGCATATAAGAAAATGGAAGTACTACATAATGCAAAACCAAGTTTTGGAGATACTTTTAAAAAGACCAATTTTACATTAAAGTAAAAAACCATTATCAAAGCCTTTAAGAAACTCTTGCCACAAAATGGAGTACTGCTCATACAACTCACATAATATGGCTAGCAAAATTTTGAAGTAAAAAATACTATAAAAGAAAACAAAACAGCTCTTAGATGTATACATGAAAATCTGAATAGATTGAGCATTGAGAATCAGAACCGTGCAAGGATATATTTCTCGCTCATTCTATGTAACAATAGCAGCATTCAATTTTAGAATTGTTGAATTTGCCAAATGCTAGCATTCTGTAAAACTTGAGAACAAGTAAAACCTTACACCAAGAAACTCTTACACCAAGATGTGAACTGTCCAGTCCATGTAAAGTTTTTAATAGTTGGAACAGTGAAAGATTACAAAGATTATGAAACTGTACAAAAATTCTAGCAGCAACACATTCCTGAGTTTCACTACTAATGACAACCAATGGTCAAAACCTAACATTGAGTAAAGAAACATAAATCACTGTTGGATAAGAAAAAAAAATCAATATGACAACTATATTCTAGTAAAGTTTTTAATAGTTGGAACAGTGAAAGATTACAAAGATTATGAAACTGTACAAAAATTCTAGCAGCAACATATTCCTGAGTTTCACTACTAATGACAACCAATGGTCAAAACCTAAAATTGAGTAAAGAAACATAAATCACTGTTGGGTAAGAAAAAAAAAATCAATATGACAACTATATTCTAGGCAGTAGCCACTATGGCATTAAACAATGGGAGATGAAGGAAGCCCACCTCATTTTCCTTTAATTAAAAAGAAAGAGAAGCGGGGCGGGGGTAGTGGGAGAAAAATCTTAGAAACAAATACCTTTCCTAACCACCATTTCTGATAATGAACAGGCATACATCAGGAGGTTTGCATTACAGAACCATCAGCACAGAACAACAGTTAGAGGTGAGTGACCCCAGGGACTATCTCCATAGCTCCAGCAAAGCCGCTCCCTGACACTAATCCTCCCTGTCATTCTCCCACTGTGCTCTAAGCACACTGACATCCGCCTGCCTCACTGCAAGCCTAACGGGGCCCTTCCTGACTTTTTACTGTCTTCCCCAATCAATGGTTCAAGCATGCTCTTTTCACCATGTCCAAATGGCAGCTTCACTCATAATCAAAGTGCACTGCCCCTGTTAAAGGGCTTTCCGAAAGCCTTTCCTATTTGCATTCATTTGCAAAGCAAACTACTTTTATTCACTTTGTTCTGCTATCAGGAATGTTCCCTGAAGCAGATAAATTGGCATAAATACAACCTGCCACTTAAGAGTCAGTAAATAATAGCCAATAGTGGGGAGGATTTTATCAATCATTCTATTTTGTATCCACTAAGGGCTGAGAGCCTCGAACATATTCATCAGTGCAGCCCCTACAATACATGCATAAACTCACTAAGATAAAAAGGTAGTCTACACTGGGTCTGGCTAGAATTTCTTTGATATTTAATGAAGATCAGAAATTTAACTCTCTGTATCACTTAAGCTAAAAATTACATGGCAGGGTTTTCCTTTCTTTTTGCCTTATTTAAGGAAAAATGAGTTATTTAGATATCATTTAGAGGAACAAATTAGATTTTCAAAGAAAATACTATGCTCATCATTAAAATCCAAAGCTCTAATAAGTATACAAAATGCAAAAGCTTGAGGAGAATTTAAATATAAGCTGGAAGTGCAAAATCAAGTCATGAAGAACATTAAGATCCTCACTGAAACAGACTCAGACCAGAATCAAACTAGTGAAGTGTTCTTCAGAGCACAGAAAATCACCTGATGTCTACATTAGTTTTAACAGAAATCTGTGCAAAACTTCTATTTTTAATGGACTGGTTTTCTGAAAACTTACCTATATCAATGGTTGACATTAAAAACCAATCAGATTTTCATTTCTTGTTAATGAGTCTAGCACTACTGTTTCCCTGGGAAGGCGACAGTTTATTTAAATCAAATACCTGTACTGAGAATCTGGAAAAAAAAAAAAAATCACTGACTGCCTCAGCAAACTTCCTTTTAGTTTTAGTTATTTCACGGCCATGATTTTTACGACTATTGTTAAAAGATGGGTAATAATAATAACTCGTGGGCTGAAATCTGAGTGTGGCCTTTGAGCTGCTCATTATCCCCTCTCCCACAGCTGTAAGGCACTTTGGTGAATGTGTAATTCCTCAGCAATAGTTAGTGGTGTCTTTAGAAGGGACAGAGCCCACTGTGATCCAGCTACTGCAGCAGTCATAAGGGTGGCCGTGGTGTGAATGTATTCTCCCTGTTCTAATACAGAGCCAACTGTAGCTGTGAAAGTCAAATGAATGCATAAGCATACTGCTTTGCCACTTAAAACCATGTGTGTCCAATATTACTGAAACACTGGGCCAAAAATTCATGGCTGCAGTAAAGTAATGGAAGATACCACATGGTGAGGGGACAGATGTTGTGACTACACAGCATTCCAATTTTGCATCAGAAAAGCCCCACTCTGGGAATAAATCTCCATACTGAATACAAAATAAAAAGTAAGTTTTCAAATTATTCAATATTTTATGTAATGACCCCCAAATATATATGCATAAGAATGAATAGGGAAATTTAAATTGTATTATCAAAATAATACTCCTTTGGGATGGATTTCTGTCATAAAACCTGCTATGTTCAAAGACTTGGTGCCTCTGAAAATCTTTAATATTCCTGGTTACAGGACTCGGAGGTGGCAAGGGAAAGCTTGTTGTTATTTTATGGAACCTACATGCAGTTTCCCCTTCCTGTTTTAGACCATAAAACACGAAATGTAAAGTATTATGCAATTTATTTGGCTAAAAAATTATGACTACATTGAAAGAAAACTGTGCACTACTTGCTGTGTTCCACATCTGGATAGGAAAAGGTCCTTTCCTACTTCATAGTTAAATGTTTGTACTCAACTCAAAGTCTTACAAATTTTACTTAAGAAAATATTTTAATATTCTGTCACTTGATTAAAATATCAGTTACAGGGCTATAGTGTAGATAGTATTCCTCTAACTCTATATTTTGTACAGTTTTAGTATGCATTTGGTTTTCAGCTATATAATTTTTTTTTCAGCTATATAATTTATTTTCCAATTTTAAAGTGACTTTGACAAACTTCTGTGTAAACTAATGGTATGTTAAGAGCAACAAAATTAAAACTAAAACATCTCAGATTTACTTTCACTCTTAGGAAGATAAATTCTTGAGGCCCTTCTTCCTGGCTTGTGGGTGGCTACCTCTGACCATCTGCAAGGGCTCATAATGAAGCTGCTTATGGAGCCCATTGCAAGCTCTGTTTCCATGAGCTGGACAAAGCAATATACCCTCCACTAAAGACTGGACACAGAAGAGGGCTCCGCTCCTTTGTTGCTGCTTTCAGTGTTAAGCAAGTGCCCCACTACTGCGATAAATCCATCAACAAGACTAATTTCTGTGTGGCTCTTGCCAAAGATTGACACAGTTACCTTGTAATGAAGGAGAATATTCTGCCTGGGACATTTCCCTGCTCACTTTTGACAGATTTGATTTATTGTGGAGTTTAGATTTTCTCTTGGAGCTATGATGGTGTCCTGTGACTATGAATCTTTCTCAGGTGACTATAGTTGTCATTCTCATCAGGTCAACTAAGCTGCACCACACTCCTGTAGCTCTTGAAAGTAATCTTGTCATGGTTTTAGCCTTTCAGATGGTTTGCAGTCAGCCAACAGTATACCTTTCAATGCTAAAACCACTGAACAATGAGCCAAAAATATTGGATGCAATCTCCATGTTCCCTACTGTCTACTGACATCTGGGATTGCTGAATACTGAAGAGGCTTCCTCAAACATCAACTCCAAAAGTTGAATCTAGGCAATTGGAATTCTGTGTGTTTGAGGCCAACCTGATTTACATAGTAAGTTCCAGGACAACCAGAGCCATATAACAGCAAAAATAAAACAATGCTCTGTTGCATGAGGAGGGTGGGTCCTTTCTCCCAGCCTCCTGGCTAGCTTACACCGGAAATAATCACACATAAACTGCATTCATTTAAACACTGCCTGGCCCATTAGCTCTAACTTCTTATTGGCTAATTCTTACATCTTAATTTAATCCATTTCTGTTAATCTGTATATTACCATGAGGTTGTGGCTTACTGGGAAAGATTCTGCATGTCTGACCTGGCAGCTCCAAGGCGGCTTTCTGACTCTGCTTTCTTCCTCCCAGAATTCAGTTCTGTCTTCTCTGCCTACCTAAATTCTGCCCTATCAGACCAAGCAGTTTCTTTATTGATTAACCCACGAAAGCAATACATAAACAGAAGGACCTCCCCTACACCAACACTCCCCCAAAACAAACAAAAATTCTGAATCCCTCTCTCGTGTTTTCCTCATCTTTACCCAAGAAAGAAATCTTTTCCTTTTAGTTACTTTCTACATAACCAAGGAAAGATGGTAATAGATACTTACTTAGAAAATTAGGATTCATCCTTAATTGCCATGACCTTCATCTTTTCCTGATGGCAACCACAGGCCAGTCTGGTTAATATACTTTTTGGGTGAGATCATACCAAAGGGTGTAAGAGAATCAATCTAGTCTTGCTTCAATCACTTCAAATGTCTTGCAGGAGTCACAAAGTCCTAGATAATGGCCATAAGGATGAATATACTTCTTGCCAATACAGTTGTAAGTGTGGTCTGTAATTTGTATAAAACATTGTGTCTGTGCTTAC